GGAGGGCCGGGGAGGAGCCTTGAACCCCCCCCCCAGCCAGATCGGAGTCTTCCCCCCCCACCCCCACCCCCCGAGGAGGCTGAAGTTGGTTTCTTATTCCCGCTTCCTTATTCGTTCCTTATTTGCGTCTTATTCATGAATTCATCCAAAAACAGTGAGGAGAATTTGAAAGCTCTGAACCCCAAAATAAGGTCTGGACCACCACGTATCATATACCACCAGGTCCACAGGACTCTCCCCTTCAAGAGGATGTATCCTGTGTCCTGGTCCGAAGCATGGTTCTTGTGCCAGCTGCTCCAAAGTGGGGTGCCCCCAGGAGAAACAAACAGGCAGAAATTGGGGAAAGGCTGCACCCACAAACCCACCTCTGGACCTCCCCAAATGACACATCACCACACTCGGGGGGGGGGGGCTGTCCTCTGCAAGGAGACATGACAACACTGCCCGGTCACAACACTGGCTCTGGCACCACAGTGGGCGGTGAGGTAGGCGGGGCTCAGGGAGCTCTTGACAGAACCGGCTCTTTTTCGAGAACAGCTCTTATCAGAGCTACGGCTTGCCCAAGGTCATCCAGCCAGGTGCGAGTGGAGGAGGAGTGGGGACTCAAACCTGGTTCTCCCAGATTAGAGTCCGCGCACTTAACCGCGACACCAAACTGGCTCTGTTTAAGATTAACACATGGAATTCACTGCCACAGGAGGTGGCAGCGGCTACAAGCATGGACGGCTTCAGGAGGGAACGGGAGAAACATGTGGAGCAGAGGTCCATCAGTGGCTATGGGCCACAAGGTATGGATAGGAACTCACAGGCTATGGCAAGGGATGCTCTGTATTCTTGGTGCTTGGCGGTGGGGCAACAGTGGGAGGGGCTTCTGGTGTCCTGGCCCCACTGCTGGACCTCCTGATGGCACCTGGTATTTCTGGCCACTGTGTGACACAGAAGAGTGTTGGACTGGATAGGCCATTGGCCTGATCCAACATTTGGCTTCTCTTCTGTTCTTCTGTTCTTATGTTCACAAGCGCCTATAGGGAGTGCCCCCGAGAGGCCTGCATTTCAAAGGAGATTTGAATAAGCAAGTGCCCCCCCTGCACCCAAAATAAGGCTTGGACCCCCACACTTGATATACCTTCATGTCCAGCGGACTCTCCCCTGCGAGGGGACATGTGCTGTGTCCTGGTATGAAGCACGGCTCTTGTGCCAGCGGCTCCAAAGTGCGGTGGCCCCAGGACAATCACACGGGCAGACACTGGGGCCAGGCTGCATCCCAAAACCACCTCTGGCCCACCCCACAGGACACATCCCCACGCTCTGGGGACTGTCCCCCGCAAGGAGACATACAGTGATGCCCAGTCGGAACACTGGTTCTGACGTAATGAGCTGCTATTCGGAGTGCTTCCCAGAGGCCTGCATTTCAAAGGAGATTTGAATAAGAAAGGGCCCTCAGCACCCAAAATAAGGTTTGGACCCCCACACTTCACACACCCCCATGTCCAGCAGACTCTCCCCTTCGAGGGGACATGCGCTGTCTCCTGGTCCAAAGTGTGGTTCTTGTGCCAGCTGCCCCAAAGTGTGGTGCCTCCAGGACAATCACACGGGCAGACACTGGGGCCAGGCTGCACCCCAAAAGAATCTTTGGACTACCCCAAATGACACGTCCCCACGCTCTGGGGGCTGTCCCCCGCAAGGAGACGTACAGCACACTGGCTCTCGCACCACAAGCGCCTATTTGGAGTGCCCCCGAGAGGCCTCTATTTCTAAGGAGATTTGAATAAGGAATTGGTCCGGCTGCTCGCCCTTTACACCCCAAAATAAGGTTTGGACCGTGACGTGTCATACACCCCCACGCCCAGGGGACCCTCCCCTTCAAGGGACACATGCTGTCTCCTGGTCCGGTCAAAAGGGCGGTTCTTGTGACAGCCGCTCCAAAGTGCAGTGCCCCCAGGGCAGTCACGCAAGCAGACACTGGGGCCAGGCATGGCGATGTGTCCTTCAGGGTGGTCCAACGATTGTTTTGGGGTGCAGCCTGGAGCTGGCACCAGAACCGCGCCTTGGACCAGGACACAGAAAGTGTCCCCTCGAAGGGGCCAGGCTGCTCTCCAGCACCTGGGCATGTGACACTTGGGGACAAATCCTCTTGGAGGGGAGAGCCCTGTGAACCTGGTGTGTGTGTGTGGTGGTGTGTGGTGGTCCAGACCTTACTTTGGGGTTCAGCGCTTTCAAACTCTCCTTGGTTTTTGTGGATGAATTCAGGAATAAGAATTCAGGAATAAGGCCCTTTCAACCTTGGTGCTGGGGGGGGGTCAACAGTGGGAGGGCTTCTAGTGTCCTGGCCCCACTGGTGGTCCTCCTGCGGGCCCCTGGTATTTCTGGCCACCGTGTGACCCAGAGTGTTGGACTGGATGGGCCTTTGGCCTGATCCAACATTGGCGTCTCTTATGTTCTTATGTTAGGAATGAACAAGGAACTGGGACTAAGGAACCAACTTCAGCCTCATCCTTCAGGCCAGGCGCTGCGGAGGACCACAGCCAGAATTCAGGGAAGGGCCGCTCCGGAGGCAGGCAGGCAGGGAGGGAGGGAGGGAGGGAGGGAGGCAGCAGCCGCAATCGGCAGCCAGCAGGGAAAAGGGGCAGACCCAGGGGGGGGAGAAGGGAAACGGGGCAGGAGAAGTCCAAGCCCCCCCCCCCACGTTTCCGTGCAAAGGGAGCTTTTCCCATAAGGTTGCCAGCCCCCCTCCCCGGCCACTGGTGGCAGGAGATGGGGGGGGGAGTAGGGTGGCCAGATTTGGGGGTGGAGCCTGGGGTGGACGGGGGCCTCAGTCTGTGTGTGTGGGGGGGGTTACCATGCCAGAGAGAGCCCCCACCCACCGTCCTGAGCAGAGCAGCCGTTTTCCTCCT